TGACTTGTTTGGAAGTATTATTTTTCAGTTAGTCGCTCTCACCTTTTTGTTGAAAATCTAAATTCTAAATAGGCACATGAAAGCTCGTATTAAACACAAGTTCCTGAAAATGTCTTGTTTAAATCCATATTGTATTTTTTCTTGAGTTTTCAGACAATCTTAGAATCTTTTGTGTGTGTGTGCATTGTGTCACCACAGTGACAATAGAAATGCATGTAGAACACCCCCAGTGTGATGTCACTGCACAGTAATATAATCAATATGAGAAAAAATTAAAAATGGCACTTTTTAACTTTTAAATTTTAAACAGTTTGTAATGGTCCAAAGTTATTCCTCACTTACCATTTCGAGCATCCAAATGAGTGATATTTACAGTAAAGCTAACAACAACTAGCATGCTATAGCACACTTCCTGATTAGCCGACAGTAACTTGCTTTCTAATTAGATTCAGACCCCATACTTATTTTTACCTCACAAACTGCTTACAGTATATCTGCACTGGAGCTAGAAAAATGCTCAAATACATGGGGAAAAAAATCATGTACAGAGCCTTTAAAATCTGGTGTGCATCTGAATGCAGTAACTAGGAGATAGGTGACAGGTAAACCAAATGTAACTGCACACCTCCTGCCAGGGCCTTAGCTTTAAGGGTCTTTCAGGTCAAGTCCTGGTGTGTGATGAGACAGCTCCAACTGTGAGCCACAATACAAGGTGGCACAAAAGCAAAAAATACAATTTTTATAGAAGACCAGAATCACGCTTGAACTGTCTTTTCTTGAATAAATCTGACCTGAACATAGGCAAGAGATTGCAAATCAGAGAATGGAGATTTTGTTGTTTGCCTGGAATGTTCCAAAGTATGGACTTAATCTGATCTATCTCCATGAATTCAAGCAAGAGATGTCGCCAAGTCAAATCTGTGAAGAGGCGAGCCATTTCACTTTAAGAATTTATTCTTTCAAGGTATATTTTAGGATTAGGATCAACAGGATTGTCAACCTAAATTTATTACAACACAATATGTAATTTAAAATGGACAAATATTAAAAAAAAATTACAAACAAACAAATGTAAAAGCAACAAAGACCAACATTGTCACATACTAAATGAGACATCTACCCACAATCCACCTCTGCTTCTATTTTTGTCACTGCAAGCCAAATATTTGGAACAACAAAATCTCATCACATTATTCATGACCCACTTAACCCATTAATCCATGTTTCATCTACAAACACATTCAATCAACATTAGTTAAGTCATGCGCATAGACATTTGCACACTCTATCACTATGATGTTTTTGTTTTTAAAGGTCTCATTGTCTCTCACATTGTCTCCATGGTGATGTTCAAACTTCACCTGAAATGTTCCACAGTATACTGAAGTTCTTGATGGCGTATGTATTTCATTATTCATTTACTCCACACTCGCTGGTGGTAAGATACTATTGTAGCCACAGATACCCTGGGGCAGACTGACGGAAGTGAGGCTGCCAGTCTGCACCATCAGCCCCTCCACCCACCACCAACACTCACACACGCACACACCACATTCACTCTCGGCAATGTGGGTGAATTGTCTTGCCTAAGGACACAATGACCCACTGTGATGCCTGGTATTCCCAGCAGTCTCCCATCCCAGTATTACCCAGGCAGCGGCCCAATGTGAAATTGAGTTTGGGGCCCTCACTATAATGCACTGTTTGTTGTTTGTTTTTTGAATTGTTTAAATATTTATTGTCTGTTTTTCCAATTTGTTTTTGAGACAGTCACATCTCTATTTGAATTAAGTTGGATTTGAAACTTGTCTTATTAGTTACATCGCCTACTACGTGAGCTGAAAGTAATTTTATTTTTTTGCTGGTACAATTACATTTCTGTTTACATCCCTTACATATGATTATGATTATGATTATGCTGTGATTATGTTCAAATCAGGGTCAAGCTGACACGTCCATTCTAATGTGAAAGGGGGGAATGCTTTGACATTTAAAATAGATTTGACAATCAGATACTATTTTGATGATGTTTTCTTGTTTAAAAGTACACTACTCTCATTTAATGTAATATTGAGAGAAAATCAAATATCTCTGAGGCCTCGGTCATTAGTGGCACTGAGGGTAATTGGCTGGGAGCCCCTCCAGGTCTGGGGGCCCACCTACTTTTGCCTAATTTGTAACGCTGCCTCTGTACCCAGGCACGGCCTGACTTAGGGCCTGTCCAAAAGACAACGTTTTTTGGTCAAAATGGTGAAGTTTGTATTCGTTTTGGCCTTTTGTCCACATGGAGCTTTTGTGAGAATGGGATTCCAGAGTGGAGGAATCTGAGAACGCCAGTGTTGCGTTGTCATGTGGACAAGCAAACTGCAGCTTTTGGAAAACGATGACGTCGTGACCAAGTCATCGCCAGGGTCCTCCGATGCAGTGAAGACTGCAGCCCTCGAACTAGCCTCTGCAGACAGTAAGACCATTGCCGAAATGAGACAGGTGTAGCCTACGGAACCTCTCCCGTCACCCAGCAACCGAGACACGCTGTTAGCGCTAATGCTAACAACACGCACCACACAGATTACGCACACGGATCAATAACAAAGATTACACATGGGTAGTTAAACTGGATTTTGAAACCAAGTTATTCTAATAATTCTCATCCAAATCTTATGGCTAAAAATGTAAAGTTATGTTTAACTTTTGCAAAACAAAACGGCTATATTTCTGGGATACATCTAAAATAAGCTAAATTACCTTAAAGTCTAAAAAAACAGTGATGAAGTATACATTGTTAAATATTATTATCATTGTTAACAGCACCACATACAGGTGTGGCTGATGTATTACATGGTTTTCACTCAGTGCTCCGTTGTGTGGACGTGAATATTTATTGATCCAACGTGTGTGTGGATGCAATTTTTTTTCAACCTGCAAAAAAATAAATACATTAAAATCCAGGACCATTGTCGTATGGACATAGCCTTAGTTTCTGAGATCTGAGGCTGGTATGGCCCGTACGGCTAATGCTAACTGCTCTCTTGAAAATGCATTAGATCTTGGCAGGCATTTTGAGCTCTGCAGAGGAAGACAGACTAAGAGAAGAGACACAAAAACACAAATCCAGGTATGCTACTGAAAAGAATCCATCACTATAACATGCGTAAAATCTGAAAAAAGTCAAGATAATACACATAATTATGCACTTGAATAGCCAAACGTCAAGTGAGCAGTTTGTGAATGAAACATAGCTATTACAATCTACAAGCATTCATCCTGCACACAAAGCACCACCACATTACAGTCGTACAAATTACTCCACTTTTAGCATTGCTCCAAAACACGTGCCGCATTCAAAACACTGCTGCTTCGTTATTAGCTCATGTTAATTGCAGCTGCCTCATCTGGGGACTTCTACATGTAATTAGCTACTGGCTAATTAACAGCTCTCTATTGGCTTGGTTCTTGGTCCGTGCAGTGTTAAAAAAAAATCTGTTTTTGACTCTGTGAGGGTTAAGTCATGAAAGAATGCTGTTACCTCATCAAAAACATATGTGAAGTTGTGTTTTGTTGTGTTTGTTTCATTCACACATGTTTGAATCTACATCTCCAAAGCTCAAAATGCTTTGTTCTACCTTGTGATGTCATGAAGTGGTAGTTTTCAAGTTAAAGGTACAACTTTTTGGTTGGAGGTCCGTTACCTCCTTGTTTCTATGGATATGTCATTGCACTACCTGGAACATAGTATAGCTCAAAAATACCTAGAAAAACAGACATTCTGACTGTGAGCGGGGTTGCCTCTCCACAGATCTGAGCTGTAACTTGGTCTGGTTTGGTCTCCATAACGATAGAAAGGTTTAATCCCATGAAAACATTTATACAATGCACCTTTAGCAGCTAACTTTACCTTTTTCTTTAGCAGAGATTGGCAAGTTTTGATCTGAAATTATCCAAATTATTCTACTGAAGATGTATGGAGTTTAAAAACACAGTGGAGCATTTCCTGTATTAGCACATGACATCACAAAGTGGAACAAGTGTTTTCTGTTTGAAAAAAATGTAAACACCACAACACAACAAAAAGCCAGAACAATCCAAAAAGCCACAATGGAAGTGACCACGGAACTCTATATTAATGCAAACGCAGCAAAAAATACAAGCACGACAACACAAATGCAAATGGCACAACACCAGCAAAAAGACACAACAAGCCAAAAAAAGCCACAATGGAAGGGACCGTGGGACTATTTTCCGACGGACTAAGTGACGGTCAGACAGTGACATCGATCCTGGCCACAAAACAATACATTATTTTTACTTATGTTTCCAACTTCATTCACTTCTCTGTTCCTTTACTTTTCACATTCACATTGTTCTTCTTCAGCTTTTCCCTTTCACCCACCTGAGCCTTTAACGCTTCGCTTGGTCCTGCGGTCACTTCCTTTGTGGCTTTGTGGTTTGTTATGGCTTTTTGTTGTGTTGTGGCGTTTGTATTTGTGTTGTGGTATTTGCATTAAAATAGAGTCCCGTGGTCACTTCCGTTGTGGCTTTTTTTGGTTTGTTGTGGCTTTTTGTTGTGTTGTCGCGTTTGTATTTGTTTGATGTTTGCATTTGTTACGAGCCTTCCCGTCTTCCGTACACTGTAACATAGATCAGAAAATAGCGTAATATGGGCACTTTAATGTTATGGTAGGGCTGCTGGATTTAAGAAAAGTGTTAAATTAAATTTTTTGGCTAGATTTGCTAATTCTGTTTTAATAATAGGATTCAGTTCAAAGTTCCAGGACAACTGAGAAAAAGACTGAAATACAAACTGACCAACTAATAGTTTTCAGAATATGTGATACTGCTCCAAACTACAGGGTTAGCAGTTTTTTATGCAGAATACAACAGAATATTTTGTTGTTTATGGGGGAAATTATGGTACTTCAAAAAACGCTGCCTTTGTGATTTCGATTAATCCTGCAATCCATGTTGTGGTTCATTAAATATTGATTGTGTTGATTTTGCAGGACAATCTGAATCTGCTGTTGACCGAGGAGGAGATGTACAGCCTCATGGAGACCTTCAAGCAGTGCAAGATCATCCCAGGTCAGACACTTAAAATATAAATGTTTCTAAATGTGTTTGTGGCTAATGAAATGTGAATGAAACATGAAATGATCACTAATAAACAAAGGTGGAATCTTTAGCTGTGTTTGGAGATTACTGGAAATGAATAGTGGCTCGAATCTTGCTATCAAAAGACAGTAGTAGGATTTAAAAAAAATTTTCCATGACTTTTACCTTTAAAAAAAACCAAATGTACGCAAAAATATACAATGCATTGAAATAACAGTTTGTCTAATAAGAAGCTTACTAGATAAGAAATACATTTATTGTTAGCTGCAGCCCTGCATTTGAACTGAAGTGGCTCAGAGTGTTCAATTTATAATCAGATTGAGGTTGGCAGGTTAAATCCTATCTCTAGCCAGTACATATAGGTATTGTTGTGTCCTTAGGCAAGTTACTTAACCCGCCATGCCTATGTGCTGTACGTGTGTAGCAGGGACTAATGGTGGTAGGAGAGGCTTGAACTGGATTTGTTGGCCACTCCCATTTCAGATGTGGTTACTGTAGTTCTCAGTCAATGGATGACAGTTGGAATATACAGTAACTAGGGGTGGGGCAATATATAGTAACTAAAGGCGCAGTCACACCTTGAAGATTTAGCCAGCGTATGCAAAATACGCTGGTGTACGTCAGTTAAGTTATATGTAAGTTTTGTATAAGTTCTGAGCACGCTGAAGCACACTGGCATATGTCGACATATGGCAAGGTCATTGAAAAATGTTGAGCATGCTGAAAATTTCTCAGCGTATGTCAGTGTATGCTTATACGTCCTGCATATGTGGGCCATAAATTATAGGTAATTTATGTGATCGTTGACACACGTTCACACACATTAATTGTAAGTTACTCAAGTCCAAATACGCTGAGATAATGTCTAGTGTACACATAACTTATGAATACCATGCTTTGAACCGATGTGTAACTTAAATTGAACTTACCTCCAATGCATATTGATGTATGCAGACGTATTTGACATGTTCTGATGACCACAGAACTTACTGAATGTGTTTCTAACTCATAGCTACCGTATAATGGTGTATTGGCAGCGTGTAGGGAAATTGGTTTATAAAAATGGGGAACCGTCAGTGCTCCTCCAGACTTCATGGTGATGACCCCGTGGTACTACTCCCTACATATATCATCTGAGAGATGGAGGATCCAGCCAGGCTAAGACGAGCGTACATACTAGCTGCCCTCCAACATCAGCATGATCTCATCGATTTGTCATTGTACCAGTTGCGTGCCAGTAGAGCCAGGAGAAGAAGAGATCAGCGGCAGAGAAGGAATTGGGTGAGAACATGGATCAGGAGGTGACTGCAATTTGGCATGTATGATCAGCTGATTGGTGGAACTTAATGTTGTTACTGCAATGTGTAGTGCAGTTATGAATCCTCACGTGCCAGCCTTTATCGAGGTGACGACACGTGAGCATTGGCGATACACTGCTGTGTGCTATGCATAAGTTTGACTGTCGTTGTGCATAAGTTGTGGACGCTGGCAACACATTAGTTGGTATAAGTTATATATAAGTCATCAAACCATTCTATATAAGTTACTAATACATTATGTATATGCCCAAAATGTTTAGGGAAAGCTTTCCTAAAACGCTGCCAGCTTTTTAGGGAAATTCTGGTACGTCGGCATACACTGGCTAAATCATCAAGGTGTGACAGGGCCATAAGGATGGGAATCTAGGGCCATTTCACGATTCAGTTCAGTTACGATTCTGCTGCCAATGTGCATCTTTGTATTTTACTATACATTTTACAGTTCATATCAAATGAATGGCTTTTTTTAAATGTGCAGAGCTGCAGGATGAAGGAATGACTTTTATTTAACACAATTGTTTTATTTAAATGAGTAATTGCATAGTTTTTTTTCTGTATCAGGGATTAGTTTAGCAGGTGGGAGATATTGGTGTAAACAGAGTAGCTGTCAGCAGCTCGTCGTGCTATCAAATTAGCTTCTCTGCAGACTTTTATAAGAGAAAGTACAGCCCACATGCCTCTGTCCTCTGCAGGGACACAGCGTGGAGTTAGTCTAGACCAGTTTATCTGTGCGTTTCACTCTAAATTTGCTTTTCAAGTGCATAACATAAACTTCTGCAATAGGAAGTGAGCATGAGGGTGCTTCCGGGTCCTTCAACTCCAATTGACTTTATTCTGAAAATGTCACCCCTCTCTCTGTAACTGCTGCAGTGAGCCTTGTTTTTTGGTCTTAAAATGTTCGTATTAACTTGCTCTACATGATTCTTTTGTTTTCATTTTGCTATTTTGTTGGTTCCTATTCCAAATATGGAACTTGCCCCCAAATTCTCCTATAACTGTCAGCCTCAGTGAGCTTCATTTGACTGGAGCCCAATGCTATGGGTGGTCACACTTCTTTATACAGACAATGGACTACTAATTCTTCTTGATCTATTGGAAATTTGAGACTTTCATCACATTAATACCCTCTCCATTAAAGCTGTCATAAAGTGGTAGTCATAAAGAATTGTCAGTGTTGTCCTGTATGAACATTTAATCTCATTTGAATTAATTAAATCCTTACACAAGGCAAAACCCAACTGGACTTTTATCTTGAGTGGCTCCAACACTGACTAGAACAAAGCACCCCTACCTGCCCGCACAGTCCTCTTTGTCTCTCTAATTGCAGGTTAATTATCCTGGCATATTCTCTAATATGCTGTCTCCATGCTTTTGTTCAGAGTCGTGCCTGGTGTCAGATGAGCTCCTGCAGTACCGTCACTTCGTCTCTAAGCAGCAGTTTGACAAGGACCTGACAGACGAGCAGGAGGAGGAGGTGCTGGCACAGTTCTCCGCTCTGGACCCAGAAAAGAAGGGACACATCGAGTGGTCTGACTTCCTCTACTTCGAGTCCCTGGCCGTGCTGAGGAAACTGCGCACAGAGGTGAATGGGTTAAATGGTCTTTAATGGGTGCATAAGTGCTTTAACAGAATGGAGATTTAGAATAGGTCATCTTCACTCACTTTGGAGGAGAGTGGAGCATGCCAGAAGAGCACTAAGTGTGGATGATTTCTGAATGAATACTATTTTTTTTTACATTTTTGTTTTGTATTTTACATGTTTGTTTTGTTTTTTAATATGTGTGTAAAATCCAAGGCAAAGGAGAAATTTAATTTTTCATCTGGACAAACTGGATGAGCTGCAAAACGTCTTCGACCAAAATAAATGTTTGCCCAGTGGACAAATTGAATTTCTCCTTTGCCGTTGTTTTTTAAGGGAAAAAAGGAAATGTGGACATACATGGTGTGATGCTGGCAAGTTAAGTAAGTACATTCAACCTTAGTAACATGAGAACTGATTCCTTTCGAATGAGGGGGAACAGTGTCTCTACTCCAAGCATTCCTGTAATGTAATTGTGCTTAAAGCTGCTTATGTGTTATGGCAGATTGGCAGGTGGAGCCAGCAGGCGGGTCAGTGGAGGGAGGCGAAGACACCTGGAGGGAAAGAAGAGGAAGGCAGAAAGGGGCAGGGCACAGCACAGCCTGGGCCGTAACACCTTATAACCATCTCTGGACTGAATGCATGAATCTGATTATATATCATGTAAAGGTCCTGTATTATGCTAAATTGATTTGTGTGAGCTTTAATCCATGTTGTAATGTTGTTTCCTTATCATAAACATACCTGGAGTTGTGTTTTGTTTCATTCACGCATGTTTGAATAATCTTTACTATCTCTCTACATCTCCAAAGATCAAAGGCAAGGCAAGGCAAGGCAAGGCAAGTTTATTTGTATAGCACAATTCGTACACAAAGTAATTCAAAGTGCTTTACAGAATAAGAAATACATTAAAATCATAATAAAAACAAATCAAAACATAAATAATCATGAAGATTAAAATTAAAAAAGAGAGACATAAATTGGAGAGAAGAGTGCGGAATGAAAACCTTTCAGTTATATGCACAGTTAAACAGAAATCCTCTGTTCCATCTTGTCATGTCTTTAACAGGTAGTTTTCAAGTTAAGAGCTCCTTTTACCTTTAGTTCTCTAGAGATGGACAATCTTTCAAATGATTCTTGTAAAGGTGTACAGTTTTTAAAAACACAGTGGAGCACATGACATCAGAAATGTTTTCCATATGATCTCAACTCAGCTTACATATGCAGGGTTTGTGTGTTAAACTTGTGTGAGTGAAACAAAACACAACTCTGGCTACGTTTTTGATGAGGAAACTAGATTATAACATGCATCAGAAAATAGCGTAATATGGGCCCAAGTCAATTGTACTTTGTCCTATTTACTATTATTATTTTGCAGTAACATTCTTACTTGAGTCCTAAATACGATAAAATAAAGAAATAAGCTTCACTGGGCACTTTGAGCGCCACTTCATGAGGAAAACACAAGAAAAGACAAAAACAACCCATCTATCTTAAAACTCAAACTCTGACCCCTTTACGCGATAGTGCAGCTCTTTGCAGCATAAGCTAAACAGGAGAACATCGACAAAGTACAACAGCACAACTAAAGTACAATAGGAAAACAGTGTCTTATGCCTGTAATGTGATCAGTGATGCATTGATCTTACTTCTCATATAACTCATAAAAGAAAACACAAAAGTAAAACTTGTGAAAATATTGGTTTTAACAAAAGTGCAAAGTACACACAGATTCGGGAGCAGGTGAGTTTTGAACCCCATTCTCCCACGTCCTAACCCACAGCGCACAGGGCTTCCGTACTAATATAATAACACAAACAAACTTATTAACATTTAAATATGACATATGGCATATGACAAGTATATGATTCTCAAATGTTTACTTTATTTGGTGGAATAATATCTGTTGTAAATATAAATTATAGTTTTGCAGTTTGTGAAGAAAAGCTGAAAAATATGTTGAAAATTAAAGGATTTAAAGTAACTACAGTTCAAACATATCAATGACATCACTCTTCTGTTGAAAAGTTTGCCACAAATTACACACAGACACATTTCTCTTACTTTAAACATGATTTCAGCAAAATAAAGGTGTTTTCTTATATTTTTCTTTGTCAAATAATAATTACCGTATACATTAAAGGAGTTTTGCTAGGTAACAGCTATGGAAATCCCTAGTGTTATGTCACGATTTCCAACCAAGAAGTGTGATTTTAAACTTAAAAATGGGAAAACAAGTGTGCTTTTTTTTTTTTTTTTTTTTTTTTTTTTTTTTACAAAAATCTTACATGTAATGATCTTAATTGTGTTTTAGTAAAAGGAGTAGTCCCCATGTAACAGATGCAGCATTCTGAGATATACAATACATCCCATTTTGCTCTTGTCATTGGGTGCCTAGTCTCTCTGAAGTGAATGGAATTTTTTGGAGCACAGTAAAGAGCCATCTGGCAGCCACACTTATCTTACATCGTTTCACACATCTCCCAGCCTAACTATGCCATCTATTTCTGTAGCTCTGACCTGCGCTGACAACATTATTAAGATGTGGTTGCTAAGAGGTTCATTGCGATGCTGTATAAGATGTCAAAGCAAAAGTGCAAAGTGAAATCTACAAATGAGACAGTTTATTAGGCGCGCAGAATTTTGGAGTAAGAGACGAGTTTTGTGTGAATTTCGAGATATGCGGGGGAAGAATGTTGATGTACAAAAGTATATCAGAAAGAACGAGAGTGTGTTTGCAAGTAGTTGTACCATGAAAAGTAGGCCTATAAATGTATTAATTTAAAGGGATGGTATTATGCAACATGTTTCAGTAATTTAGCAGTCTCTCCCAGGCCCTCTTTATTTTTAGCTGTACGATTCTGACCAATAGGGCTGGGTATCATTAAGAAATTGCTGATAGGATATATATCTTGATACATAGGCCACGATACGAAACACATCTCTATACAGTGCTCGGTTTAAAATAACCGAGCACTGTTTAAAATAAAATAAAGGCCAAATCATAGCTGAGACATTAAAAGTCTTTGTTAAATCACTTCTTGTGCAAAGTAAAAATTAAACACTCCCATTTTAATCATCAAAACAGTGAAAATGTCAAATGTGTTGCAAAAAAGAGTTTCCTTCCTCTAAACAGGCAACAAAACTGTAGCACTGTAACAAAATATTTTAGTAAAATATACCAAAAAATACTCTTGGCGATATATTGATACAGCAGCCCCCAATATTGTTACTGTATCATCACATTAAATTATACGACATATCAATATTTCGATATTTTTGCACGCCCCTACTGACCAATTTTTTTTTTTAAAGCCCACAAACCTACATCACAGATACTCTCAGACAACAATTCTCCATAAATATACAAAACCATGATACAAAACTGTTCACAGCAACTTGACATACCTGATGCGATGTGCAGTAGTTTCAATGCTCGTGGACTGTGTTGTGATAGTGCTATGAAAGGGGAGTGACTTAGCATGGAGAGTGTGAACAATCCCTCAGTCGTCCAGGTACAATCCATGGCAAAGGAGAAATTCAATTTGTCAATGGGACAAAAGTTTATTTGGTTGAATACGTTTTGCCCCTCATCCAAGCTGCTTCTTCAGTTCTGTTCAGTTCAGTTCAAATTGAAGAAGCAGCTTGGATGAGCAGTGAAATGTATTCAACCAAATAAACTTTTGTCCAGTTGACAAATTGAATTTCTCCTTTGCCTTAGCATGGAGAGCAAAAGGAGGGGGAGACTTGAAGTGTGTTAATATGTTGTTTTCGGCAATTATGGCATTTTCAAAACAATAAAAGGTAACATGGTGCTCTAAATATGTTCTGGGTTAGTTGGCGTGACGGCAAACTCTGAAACCTAGCTGGAGGATTAGACTAAAGCACATATTTGTAGGTTGGTGGGGTGAAGCAGAATACCGGGGTAAAGCAGTGTGAGAATCCAACTCACGACCTTGTTGCTGTGAGATCGTTTCCCAACCACTAAGCCACTGCGTTGTAATTAAGCAGAAGATTTTATTACACAAATTGGAACCTCCTCAAAAACAGACCTGGAGTTGTGTTTTGTTTCATTCACACATGTTTGAGTAATCCTTTATTATTAATCTGTCAATAGGCTCCAAAGCTCAAAACGCTCTTTTCCACACTGTGAAGTCATGAAGTGGTAGTTTTCAAGTTAACAGCTACCTTTTACCTTTAGTTCAGAAGAGACTGGAAATTCCAGGACTGAGATTATCCAAATGATCCTATAGGAATGTGGGAATCATGTGGGAATGAAACAAAACACAACTGCAGGTGTGTTTGTGATGAAAACTACATTATAACACATCAGAATACAGAGCTGTGTGGGCCCTTTAAGCAGAAGATAATGAATGAAAGATTTTAACTGTTGTTCCAGCTTCCAAGTATCTAATAAGATTTTTGATTAAAGGTGATTGTTTTCCCCTAACCATGTTGTATTAGCATGATTCTTTTATGTACAAACTGAAAACCAGACCATAATGGATATAGATGACTAACGCATAGAAATAATATGCTTAATTAAACCAGGCCATAATGAAATTGTGACAGATAAGGTTGTTTACATATTTGCATATTTTGTGCGTTTGAAGTGGAAATAACTACATAAAAAAAGAGGATCATATGTAATCGTGTATATGCATGTACTCGTGTACGTGCTTATGTGGATTAGCAGAGTAGACAATAATTTGAATCAGGGATTGTTTGTGTGTAAAAATAGAAACCGTGAGGCAGTGTAAGGATTTGATTTAAATAACTAGGGTACATTTACATATTGACTGATATGACACACAAACCTGCATATTTAGGCTGACCTCTTCTCTCAAACAGAAAATACTCAGTTCCACCTTATGATGTCATGTGGTAATAGAGGAAGTGGTCCACTGTGTTTTAAAACTCCATAGACCTAGAATTTGAAAGATTTCAGACCTGGAATTGTCAATCTCTACTTTACAAAAAGGACAAGGTAGCTGTTAATTTGAAAATCTACCACTTCATGACATCACAAGGTGGAATAGAGCTTTGGAGATATAGGCAGAGACTAATAATAAAGGATTAATCAAATGTGTGAATGAATGAAAATTAAAACTAAATCCAACATGTAATATAGGACCTATAGGAAAAATGTATATATAGATAAATAAATACTCATGAATTCTAGTCACAAATTTGCCTAAAAGTGTTTTCAGTTCAATATGTCATGACTCTTAATTTTAAAGGACCTATATTATGCCATTTTCTGATTTATATTATAAGGATTCCTCATCACTAACATATTTGAAATTGTGTTTTGTTTCATATTTAGGCTGGGTTCTTCTCTCAAACAGAAAACACTCCATTACACCTTGTGATGTGATGTGATGGTGTCATGTGCTCCACTGTGTTTTTAAACTCCATACATCTTCACTAGAATCATTCGGATAATTTCAGCTCTGGAATCATCAGTTTCTATGAACTAAAGATGAAACATAGCTGTTAACTTGAAAACTACCTCTACATCAGGGGTCCCCAACCCCCTGGCTGGGGACCAGTACTGGGCCATCGGTTGTTTGGGACCGGGCCGCGAGAGCTCAACCCCCACCTTCCTCCTGAACACCGTGCGGATCGTCCCCCCCTTTCCTATACGCCACGTGGAATGTCCCCTGATCCCATATGCCGACGTGGACCACCCTTCCTCCCCTACGCCATGCGGACCACACCTCTAAGCCAGAGCTAAAACCATAAGTAAAACCAGGTCTAAAACCGGCCTGTGGCTCAAAAATGTTGGGGATCACTACTCATGACAACTCACTACATGACATCACAGGGTGGAACAGAACATTTTAAGCTTTGGAGATGTAGACAGACTAATAATAATGGGTTACTGAAACATGTGTGAATGAAACAAAACAACTCCAGGTATGTTTTTGATGAGGTAACAACATTCGAACATGGCTAAAATCTCACAAGAGTTAATTTTGTGTAATATAAGACCTTTAAGTGACAGTACTACTTAAGTCAAAATATATATAGGTAGCAATGGATCACGGACCATTACCCAAAGTTCAAATATTATAGTTTTTACAGCAGTTCTGGCCTAGTTCCACTTCTCTAAAAGACTTGTAGTTACAGTCTGGTGGCCACAGTAAAAAGCTGTCATATTCTGGCCAGGGAGATTAAATTTGTGGACTCTGGGGGTAACTGGAGGTAAAGGAGCACCTGGAGATTAGGTAACACAGCACTAATGTGATTGAGAGCGATTAAGCCCTAAAAATACCAGTGCTGGGGCCAGAATTATAGTCACTGAAATTTTAAAAAGGGGAGATCCATCATCTATTACACAGCAGTCCTTCTTACAGATATTGCATTAGAAACATTTAAGTGGATTCATGTGTTGCCCCAAAAGACTTGAGACTTCATTTATTAACTTAAAGGGCCATTATTACACCATTTTCTGATGTTATGTTGTTTCTTCGTCAAAAATTAGAGGGAGTTGTGTTTTGTTTCATTCACACATGTTTAACACACAAACCCTGCATATTAAGGCTGAGTTCTCTTGAATGGAAATCTCAAAATGCTCATTCCACCCTGTGATGTCATGATGTCACACCTTCACTAGAATCATTTGGCTAATTTCAGCCCTGGAATTGCGAATCTCTACTGTTCAGGGTGTACAATTTGGACATGTTTGTTTGGCTTCCTGTTTAAAGGCAACATTTTGAGTTTTTTTCACCATTCTAAAGACATAATATTGTGTTTATGGGTTAATTGATGGTTCATTGTTATAGTAACTAAGGGTGTGCAAAAATATCGAAATACTGACGTATTGTTTAATTTGATGATACAGTATTGTTATCGTGGGCTGCTGTATCGATATATCTCCAAGATTTGGTATATTTTACTAAATTATTTTGTTACAGAACTATAGCTGTGTTACTTATTTAGAGAAAAGAAACTTGTTTATGCAACACATTTGACATTTTCACTGTTTTTATGATTAAAATGGACATTTTTCATATTATGTTTGCACAAGAAACAAAGACTTTTAGTATCACAGTCATGATTTAGCCATTATTTTTTATTGAACCGTATCAAATCAATTCGAAATATATCATCAAGATATGTATCGTATCATAGTCTAAGTATCGAGGTATGTATCATATCAGCAACTTCTTAATGATACCCAGCCCTAATGGTAACGTTCCTCATCATTCTGAAACCCATGCAAAGTCAATGGGGAAGTTACTAGCACAATAGGAATGCAACCTCTCTTTTTTTCTCAGGAAAAAGACTGACATCATTAGTTTGCTTTGATTTATTGTTTCTTGCCTTGTGTTTTAATCCACTTTGTTTTGATCTGATAACAATGTCAGTGAACAACTCAAGCGAAAAGACAAAGTGGAAATAACTGGTGTGTTTCTGTTTGTGTGTTTGCATGGTTGTGTGTTGTGTGTTTGCATGGTTCTGTGTTTGTGTGTTTGCATGGTTGTGTGTTTGTGTGCAGAACTCCCTGGTGCGCCTGCTGACGGGGAAGGAGAGGGACAAGGCTCGCTCGGTGTTCCAGAGTCTGGACCTGGACAAAGATGGAGTGATCACCAGAGCTGAGTGTCGTCAGGCCCAGCAGTCCTGGTTCCAGAAGGGCACCAAGGACTCGCAATCCTGCAACGTCAGGTCAGTCCAAGTGACCAGTACTACCACTACTACAGCTGTGTATACTATGTGAGACATTGACTGCTGTAGTGGAAGTACTCAATTTAATTCAGAAAAAAAAAAAAACTCAAGTAAAAGTATCACATGAAAAAAAAATTATTTAAGTAAAAGTGTTGAAGTACTCATGTAAAAATGTAGAGAGGCTGATGCCATGTAGTGCCTCCGCTCAATTTCATTTCTCTCCAGCGACGAGGTCAGGAATCAGAATACACTAGACGGTTTGCAAGAATCCCAGAAGTGCAAGTTCGTGCACCAGCCAATCAGCGAAGAGCCATACATTCTATGTTGGCCACAATTCCCGAGATCGAGGATTTAAAGCCGGAACAAAGAGAATGTTTGGTGAATTTTATCAAGGGGAAAGACGTTATTGCCCTTCTACCTACAGGATTTGGGAAAAGCTTAATGTACCAGTTAGCCACGTTAGTGATGCATTACTTACGTCACGACCAAATAGCAGCGATTGGTTAAATTAAAAAAAATTACCCGCCTACTGTTGAGCGAATGAATCCTAATGCTGCGAGGTCACATGGTTTCCATGAATTGAAACAGGATGATGAATGAAGCTGTAAGAGAAAGTATTTCACGCCAATTTTGAGGTCTTATAAAGCTTCCAACTTAGTGAATTTTATACAGATTTGTGATGAATGTTGAAACAATTAAATCAATCATTTTGTTCCTAGGTGATTTTCTTTGTATATTTTTGTTCGCTCAAATTATGAACTTGATCAAAAATAACCCCCTCAGTCTTTTCAGCAGGTCTCAAACAAAAAAAACAAACAAACAAAACCAAAAAACTTTTACTTTTCTGAAGAGAAAGTACAGATAAAGGCTCTCCATTGTAGTAAAGTAAAAACTAGACACTTACAAAAAAAATAAAAATCAACTGAAGTACAGATACCTTTTCTATATTATTTTCCACCACTGATCCTATGTCACAGTCAAGTCTATACCATTGACTAAATATAATAGCAGCAACACAGAAACAAACATAGCCACATACAAAAGATATTTAAAGTAAGTTATTATATGATTCGTTCATGTCTGCTCTATGAGTGCTCAGAACTTTAAACTGTTATCTCTCAGAACCACCCAGAATGCAGAAAGAACCTTATCATTCTAAAAAGACTAGCTATCTACGTGCGATTAAAAATCATGAGTCATCCACTAAACACTGCTCGAGGAAAACAGTCTTATCTGTAAAAGCTCAGTCCACAGTTGAAGTTGTAACAAAACAAGATCAGATAACATCAACATACAGACATTAAAACTGTGCTGTCTGATTTGATTAACACAATGAAGGGAGAAAGTAGGTATTTAAATTTCACTTGTTTGTAGCTCTCATAAACCATTTGGCACATCAGTATTCACATGCATTCATATATGGTCACTAGCACGGCTTTAAAACTGCTTTTTCAAACAAAAAAGTGAAGTAGGGGGGACCACCCTTACACAGCCAATCAGCTCTCATTCCAAAGTGTCATATAGAGACTCACTTGGTTCTGTCTTACAAGTTTGCAATAGATAAATGTTTTCTACTTAGGGTCTGTTTACATGAGAACACTTGCAGGTAAAAAACGACAAACTATTTTATCGGAATTGCCTTTGGTTTAGACGGTGATGATGTTTTTGGGGCTTAAAAATGCAAAAATCACCCTCCAGAGTGGAAAAGTTGAATACACTCTGCTGTTGCATTTCCATCTACACTGCCCAAGATGCAAAACTCTGGTCAGATCTGCTCACGTCGCGTACGCATTTACATCACATATGCTTTTACGTCACATACATCACCACCTAGCGTCACCACCTAGCCGCCCGATATGCATACCCAATTGAATTCCAAACACTTTTGTGTCACTGTATGCACACAGATTTCCTTCCGAAAACACTCGTCTAAACGTGGAATAAAAAGTGAAGACGCGATGCCACATTTGCATCTTTTGTTAAGACCATCATCATATAAACGTAGAAGGAGACAGTGTATAGAGGTCTGATTTCTGCTACAAATTTCTGTTTTTACAATATGTTTATGGGGGAAGAACAGAATTTACTTTGTTGTGAGAAAAAAAGTCAGGTACTTTAGCTTTAGACTCTTGTGAGCTTTAACCCATGTTATTCTGTTGTTTCTTCCTCAAAAGCATAAAGGAGTTGTTTTGTTTCATTTACACATGTTTGAGTAATCCTTTATTATTAATTTACATTTTCGAAGCTCGAAATGCTCTGTTCTACTTTGCGTTGTCACGAAGCAGTAATTTTCGAGTTAACAGCTACCGTTTACCTTTAGTTCAATAGAGATTGGCAATACATGCATCCCGAATTTCAGACTTCTGGTCATCGCGCAATGCATACTGGGAAGGATTCTCTGAAAAAGCGAGCATCAAACCACCATGTTTGATTTCCCAGTGGGATCCCTCTATTGTCAAAGCCGATCTTTTCAAGTCTTTTGAACCATATCTCTTTTGTTTCTGGTTCTGATATTGTCATATTTTAGTTAGGGGATTCAGACATCTTAATTGTGTGGTTGTTGGAGGTCCTATCAGCGGAAAATGGGCCTTGGCACTCCACATACAAAATGTTTGCTGCAAACTCGGGATGATTTCTTAAGGAGCCAAAGGTTTCCTTTTCGGTCCTTCCTGTGGATCAATACTGCCCATCGCCTTCGCCTTTCACTATTTCTCAATTTCGTTGGGAAGGGAAACAGTAAACTTCCAAAGCCCGTTTTCTGCTGTTAGGACATCCAACAACCACACAATTATGATGTCCGAATCCCAGAACTAAAATATGACAACATCAGAACCAGAAACAAAAGCGATACGGTTCAAAAGACTTGAAAAGATCAGCTTTGACAATAGACGTATCCCACTGGGAAATCAAACATGTATAACAGGGCTGAAATTATCCAAATGATTCTAATGAAGGTGTGTAGTCTTTAAAAACACAGTTGAGCACATCACAAGGTGGAACAGAGTGTTTTCTGAGATGTGTGAATGAAACAAAACACAACTCCAGGTATGTTTGTGATGAGAAAACATTATAACATTAGATCAGAAATCATAGATCAGAGCGCAAAATGGGTGCAGAATTTTCAGTATTTACAAATATGCCTATATTTATTACTATATAAAACCTATATTACCCCACTAACTGAAAGCAAAAGTCAGGTACACGTTTACCTTTTAATTACCTGTCAACTGGTACACAAATAACATCCAGGTATATTTTTTTTGTTTTGTTTTGTTATGCCAAAAGTCCTAAACCAACAAATTGCGATTCCCAAACCAATTAAATTTCACAAACTTTTCCTCAAAACTTTTAGCTTTAACTTTCAGCTGTAACACCATATTGTGCTGTGATTTTGTTAGTTTTCTGAGCAGTTGGGTGTGGAGCCGTGTTGTTTTTCTCTTCATTAATTGCACCACAATTCTGCAGCTAAAAATATAATTCACCGTTTGGCTGGAAAACAAAACACTACAATTGTTTGTCCGTGTCTATCCAAGTACTTGTTAAAAATAAAAAAGAATTGCTAACAAGTCCTGCAATCAAAGCTATTTTCTCATTTACATTATTATATTTGAAGGACCAATCAAAACACATTAATTGCATTTTTATATTATTTTAATTAGTTTATTTACATGAATCGGTGTAATATCTAAAAATTTAAAGCTGTTTTGTAAAGGTGAGAGGAGTAGCTAAAAATTTTACTGAAGTAAGAATACCGTTACTTCAACAAAACAAACAAACAAACAAACAAAAATGTATACTGAGTACTACCTACATCTGCTATTTTCACATTTTTCTTCACCTGTCAACTCAAGTCATATCCAACAATTAAACATGAATTCAATTTTTAGAACTTTTAAAAAAATATATTATTATTATTATTATTATTAATTATTAATTTATTTAGTTAGTTTTTTTTTTTTACAGTCGTCACCTGTCAAAGTGAACTCATGTAATTAAAGCTATTTTTCTTGTTTACTTTATAATGATAATGATTTCAAGAAAAAGATTACATTGGTATAACTTATTTTTTCCTGTCAACATGAACTGATGTAATAGAGAAATAATTTCTCACAATTAGAAACAGACAAATCTAAATCTAATTAAATGTATTTACAATGACAACATTTATTTTTTACAGTTTTTTTGCCTGTCAATGTGATCCCAAATTATATCCAACATTTAAAGCAATTTTCGCATTCACATTATGATGATTTCAAGAAGTTCAAAACACATGAATTGCATTTTTATAACTTTAACCTGTCAACAAGAACCCAAGTAATATACAACACTTAAAAGTATTTTAAATTAAATTGTATAGTATATTAGTATAGTATAACTTTTTTTTTTTTTTTGTTTTATTTTCTCTCCTGTCAGTGTCAACCCAAGTAATATCCACAAACTAATTTATTTTTACAGTTTTTTTTTTCACTTGTCAACGTGAAGCCAAATAATATCCAACAATTAAAGCTTGTTTTTCTCATTTATATTATAATGATTTCAAGGACTAATCAAAACAAATTGATTGTATTTTTATAACTTTTTTGTTTTGTTTTTTCACCTGTCAGTGTGAACCCAAATAATATTGACAAACTGACTTATTTTTACAGTTTTATTCACCTGTCAACATGAAGCCAAATAATATCCAACTTTTAAATCTATTTTCTCATTTACATTGTAATGATTTCAAGAAGTTCAAAACACATGATTTGCATTTTTATAACTTAATTTTTGCAGTTTCATTCACCTGTCAACAAGGACCCAAGTAATATACAACAATGAAAAGGTATTTTCTCATTTACATTATTATACTTTGAAGGACTATCAAAACTCATTGCATTTGTTTAACTTTTTTCACCTGTCAACGTGAAGCTAAATAATATCCAACAATTAAAGCTTGTTTTTCTCATTTATATTATAATAATTTCAAGGACTAATCAAAACAAATGAATTGCATTTATATTTTATTTATTTATTTTTTTTACAGTTTCATTCACCTGTCAACAAGAACCCAAAAAATAAAACCGAACCAAAAAATTAAAAAAAAACATTAAAAATAAGTTATTCTGGTTATTACTTCAGTTCATGTTGACAGGTGAAAAACACAATAAAAATAATTGTGGTAATTACTTCAGTTCACTCAAGTAATGTACAACAATTAAAAGCTATTGCATGCTATGTATAACTTTTTTTTTTTTTTCTTTTTTTTAAAGTTTTTTTCACTTGTCAATGTGAACCCAAGTAATATCCACAAACTAACTTATTTTTACAGGTGAAAAAAGTTAGTTTGTGGATATTACTTGGATTCACATTGACAGGTGAAACCTAAAAACAACTACAACAAAAAGTTATACAAATGCAATAGCTTTTAATTGTTGTACTTGTATTACTTGAGTGAACTGAAGTAATTACCACAATTCATTATTTTTATTGCGTTTTTCACCTGACAACATGAACTGAAGTAATAACCACAATAATTTATTTTTAAGTTTTTTTTTCACCTGTCAGCGTGACCTGAAGTAATTACCCCAATAACTTATTTTTACAGTTTTTTTTTTTACCTGTCAGCGTGAAGTGACAACAATTAAAAGCTATTTTCTCTAAGCTATCAAAACCTATTATTAGAATTTGCAAGACTAATCAAAACACAATTAACCACATTTTTACAACAAATTTTTTACAGTTTCGTTCACCTGCCAACGTCAACCGAAGTCATATTTTTAGCGTCCTGTCTTCGCACTGCACTGTTGACATTGCCAGTGGCTTGTTTGAAATCTATATTAGGAATCCTTTTGAAGAAACTGAGCTTTGACTAAAAACACTTTGAAATACAAATTCTCAAAATAGACTGTTTTTTCATTATACTGTGAAGTCTACTTGCTACATCTTACCTGCAGTTCCTCATATCCATTTATCAAACCCAACACTGAGTACGAGATGCCCTAGTAATGGTTTTCTGTCAAACAAGAAGAAAATATTGTTAGAATAATGTTCACGGATGCCCTTATTTGTAATACAGTTTTTATATTGGCCCATGAATCCTTCAGTATATGTATTAAAATGCATAGAGCAGCTGGTGTTTTATTTTGTGAGCCGCCTTTTCGCAAATGAAAAGTGAATTAAATCTATTTGTCTGACATGTGTGGCCATATCTTATCTTATCTTATCTTATCTTATCTTATCTTATTAAAAGACCTACAGACAACTATGCGTACGTAGGAATGATAAGTATTTGAAAGTACGTCACAAGAGTATGTCTAAATGGACTGAAATATTCATTAAAATCAAACTGAAATATTTGAGTAGTTCGAATGGTTGTAGTTTCATAATATTTAGGTGAGAACATTAAAAAAAAAAAAAAAAACATCTCATTTGGTCTATTAACTACCTGACCCTGGTTTAAAATTATATTAGTACTTAAATTATCAAAAAAACAAAAAAAACAAAAAAAAATCTAAACAATTTTGCACAATTTTGCACTTTTGTCATATTCTTTAGTAGTACTGCTGATAGCAGGAGTAGTAGTAGTATTAGCAGTAGTACTAATACAACTACTACAACAACAGCAGCAGTAGTAGTGGTGGTATTTGAGCAGTAGTAGAAGTATTTGTAACATGAGTAGTATCAGCGGTAGTAGCAGTAGTAGCAAAGATAGCAGCAGTAGTATTAGAAGTAATGGTATAAGCAGGTGGTAGTAGTAGCAGCAGCAGCAGCAGCAGCAGCAGCAGCAGTAGTAGTATCAGCAGTAGTACTAATACAACTACTACAACAACAGCAGCAGTAGCAATTGTGGTATTTCAACAGCAGTAGTAGTAGTATTTGTAGCAGCAGTAGTATTAGCAGAAGCAGGTGGTAGCAGTAGCAGTAGCTGAGGAATAGTAGCAGTATTAAAGGGACAGTCTGGAATTTTGGACTTAGGGCCTCATTTCCTTGTTAGCCAGAGTGTTGGAGACGTGTGGAGACAGATGACAAAACATCTATAACTAGAAAAGCACTCAGAGAGCGCAGACGTCCGCCAAGGACTACCCCCATTTTTTATATAAATTGCGATAAAATCAGTCTTCTGGATCAGATCCGGATCAGCCTTTGGAATATGAAAGAGGATCCCATTGTCCATCCCTGAGTCAAATTTCATGGGGTTTGGTCAATAATTAACTGAGATATTGAGAAACAAATTTTTTGGCCCCATTTACCACAATGTTAACTAAAATTTCAAAGTGATCCAGAATCCAGGATTTCTTCCGGATCACCCCCAAAATGAAATCAGTTCTTCCTTTTCACATTTCCAACAAATCCTGAAAATTTCAACAAAATCGGTCCATAACTTTTTGAGTTATGTTGCTAACAGACAAACAAACAAACAAACAGACAAACTCCGGCAAAAACATAACCTCCTTGGCGGAGGTAATTATGCCAGATGGTCAATGTGAATGTCTGTGCTGACAGAATAATGTCTGAAATAAAACTAACCTTGCATCGCATGAATCGTTGCATGGGACTATTTTCTCATATATCAGTCCGCCGCTGCCAAGCTTTCTATCAGGAAGTACAACTCGTTGCTGCTGCTCAGATATAAATCCTTCAAATGCAAGTCTGGTGTAATAATAGATTTGCTTCCGGTGTTTTGTGGCGTGGGCAAGACTGTTTTTAGTGGCAGGCTAACTATGGCCATTGACATGCACTAGCCTAACACCAGCGACCTCTGCAAATACAAGGACTGCATGGAATATTTTAAAAAGTGTCTCCACACATCTCCAACACACTGGCTAACTAGGAAATTAAGTCCTATGTCCAAAATTCCAAACTGTCCCTTTAATAGTAATATTAGCATTAGCAGTAGTAGCAGAAGCAGTAGCTCTACAAAGTACAGTATAGTAGCTGTAACAGAATCAGTATTAGTAGTAGTAATAGTTCATCTTTGTCTGGGAATTGTCAGATCAACATGTGACAAGTTTTCAGTTTCCAAAAAGAAAATGACATATAACAATTACGTATAAAAGACATCACTCCATTGCTTGCACTGTATATCGTATATCCATAGACTGTATACGTAACCTGCTAGCCACTGTGTTCCAAATAGGAAGTGAGCATGGGTGTGATCTGGCTAAATCGACCTAATCCATGAAAAAATGTTGCCCCTCTTTCTGTAACTGCTGCCGTCAGTGCTGCTCCTCATTTTGGTCTTAAAATGTTGGTATTAGACCCTATTTTAGACCTGTTTTTAGACCTGATTTAGTCCTGGTTTAGACCTGGTTTCATCCTTGTTTAGACCTGGTTTAGTCCTGGTTTAGACCTGGTTTAGTTCTGGTTTAGTGACGCAGCCCGCACGACGTACAGGAGGAGGGGCAGTCTGCACGACGTATGAGGGGGGGGCAGTCCACGAGGCATGTGGGGTGTAGGGGAAGGGGGTCTGCGCTTTCGCGGCTCAGTACCAAACGTGCGACCCTGTACCGGTCCCCAGCCCGGGGCTGCTCTACGTGATCCTGGTGTTTTTATTTCTCTATTTTGTCTGTCAATCAGAATATGAACACTGATAATAGACCAACCTTTTCTTAGGCTCCCCCTAGTGTTAGTAGCAGGTGTCATTTACAACTTTGCTAAGGAAGGGGCATTACCTTCAACAAACTCACTCTGGACTGGCTCTTTGGTTGCTGTAATACTCATGTTTGGAATTCCAAATATAGAGCTGAATGCTATGAGTGACATCACACTCTCTTAGTCCACTTCTTTATACAGTCTATGCTTCGATCATGGTATTTAAGCCATTTCACTCACTCTCTGTATCACTAATGTGCTTTTCCTTTTCCAACCCCCACCTCCACCCCCCACCCTCCTTCTCATCCTCCACCACCTGTGCCCCGCCCCTGCAGATTCATGGCGATCTGCACTCCTATGTTTTGTGGGTGAGTGTGACTTATAGCTTTTGCATGGCTTCTCTATCATCTTCCATCTAACCATTTAACCCATATGCCAAAACTTGCACTTTTTAAAATGACATTTTTACTGAATTCAAGCTTTTTATACCTGAACCCCAGCTACCTGAATAGATACTAACGAGTAGACCCTTCACTCTTTACGTGGAGAGAGGAGCAGTCTAATTACAGGGATCACAGAAAGCTTTCACTGTGAAGTTCTCGTCTGTAAATATCAAAAGAGTAAAAAAAAAAAAAAAAAAAGGTTGTAATGAGTGTCCTCTAAGATGTGCAAATTAGGAAGTGTTTTAGTCTCTGCTCTCAAGACAAAATGTGAAATATATTATGCCTAATGTGTCCCGTGTTGTTTTGATTCTTGTTCCAGTATCAGTCATGTTGGACCCATTTGTGAGAGCAGTCCGGCCAGTTCGGGCAGTGACAGGAGCAAGACGGATGACAGCAGGTATGTTGTGTTTTCTATAACGTTAATAATGCATTTGTTTTATATCGATGTTTTACAGTGCATCACTAAGGTTACATTTACAATGAAACAAATCACCGTATCAGCATATCAGAAACGATTTGCGTCCAGACACGTTGTTTCTGTGTCTGCAAGCCTTCCCTATCCGCATATCTTTGAGCATATTTGTTTACGTTTTACAGAAACAAAACTTAAAACCACATGGTTAATTTGCATAAAGTGAGTGCTTAAAAAACAGCTCACTGTTGTGCACTGATGCGGTTCAGCTTCTGTCGGACTAAAGGACATGACTCAGTGGAATATTTCTGTTCTTTCTGTGACAGAGGGGTGTTTAGTTAATGGTGAGTCTGTTCTGTGCTTCTGTCGTGTTGGAGATGGGTCATGTTAAACTTTTCAGAGATTATACATCTGCAGGTCATAAGCATAGAGCGTATATATGAATGGACATATATTCTAGCCTCTTAGCGTTTTGGGGTTGAATTACTTAACGGTGCATAGACCTACATCAGTGTATCAGCATTTTCAGGCATCCACACAGTGGAAGAAATCGTGCCACCAGATCGTTCCGTCTCTGGAGCCGTTTTCCATTGGATTAGTGTGGACGAACACGGCATCCACAACGAAAATGACTCAAATACGTAGTAGTGTGGGTGGGGCCTAATTCACTCCACAGTGACGTGTCTTACCTAAGGACACAATGACAATTTAGAGCCCTAGTGCCCCATTTATAGCACCTGGTAATCCCAGCCATCTCCCATCCAAGAGCTTACCAGACCCAGGCTTGCTTAGCTTCTGAGATCTGCCGAGGGACATTGACAAGCAGGTATAGCAACAGTATTCTTTTAGTATTAATACTAATGTACCCTAATGTAGACACTGCTGTGTCTGAAGCTTTGTTAGACTCTAATCTGAACTTTTTTTTAACATAATCTACCACAAAAAAAATAACTAAGTTGGAGCTACAGTTTTTTGAGTTGATTTGTGCTGTTAAAGAGTCCCCTTGACCTTACAGTAGAGGTGGGACCAAGTCATTGTTTTGCAAGTCTCAAGTAAGTCTCAAGTCCTTGACCTCAAGTCCGAGTAAAGTCCCAAGTCAAACACAGGCAAGTCCAAGTTGAGTCTCAAGTCACTGGCCCATAAATCCAAGTCAAGTTCGAGTCATCTGCTTTGAGCTTCAAATTATTTCAAGTCTTTAAACCAAAGTACTAGATTATTGTAATTTATATAAATTTTAAAATTAATTGTACTTAAAACATCATGGTATATTTATATACAAGTATTTATAAAGTATGTAAGAGTTGTAGAAATTAATTTAGTTCATTTTTCCTTTTTAATTGTCTTGACAAGATCTTAGTGTGAGTCATTATGGTCAGAACAGAAAGAATTCAGATTTAAAAGTGCTTCCTAAGTCTTCTCCAGACCTCAAGTCTTAGTCAAGTTCCAAGTCAATGACCTTCAAGTCCAAGTTAAGTCCCAAGTCTTAGTCAAGTTTATCAAGTCAAGTCTCAAGTCTCAAGTCCTAAAAATAGTGACTCAAATCTGACTTGAGTCCAAGTCACAACTTGCAAGTCCCCACCTCTGCCTTATAGTCAGTTTAGCCAACAGTTTTTCAGTTCGTCACTTTTACGTTTTTGGTGAAAATCAAAACACCTAAACAGAACCATAAATGGTCTTTTTAATCATGGGCTCCTGAAAATGTGTTGTTTAAATCCATCTAATGTGCGCATTGCGTCACCATGGTAACTTCTGAATATTCCATCATACACATAAATGTAGAACATCCACAGCGTGATACCACTGCAGACTATCAATGTAACCACTAGTGTAATGGCATGAGAAGGAATCAGGAGGGAATTTCATTAACACATTGTTCTTGTGTAACCGAAGCCCACATTTTTTGGTTTGCTGAACATTCAAAATCTCACATTTTGGTGTGAAGCAACTGGGCTATTGTGAAAGAGCAGACAAGCCGATCACTGAAGTTCACCAGATTCAAGAGATAATAAATATAAAGAACAAATAAAGAAATGACTGAATCTGTTGTGCCGAACTTAGCAACAAAACAAAACGGGATTTATACCAGAAAGAAAAATTACAATTAAAACTTCTAATGCTCAAACATGTCAATCATCACAAGTGGCCAAGTCTACATCAACACCCACTAATCTGTTCAAACGAATAATAATCATTATATTTCAATGGGTTTCACAATCGCAAATTCATGAGACTACAAACCAAATGTGTACAGACACGCAGCCAGATCTATTTGTTAAAGCCTGATCTCGTCACATCTCCAAAGCTGAGCAGAGCCGGACTTGGTTAGGACTTGGATGAGAGTCCGCTGGGGGTTGTTGTAGAATAAAGTGTGGAAGACTTAGACTTTGGCAAACTTTATTTATCCGCGAGGGAAATTATTTGGACACAATAACTCACACATCACAATATAATATAATAAGAAAGAGCAAACTTATAAACTCAAACTAATAAATTCTAAATAAGTATCAAAAGTAACAAGAGACTGGTGTCATATATGGCATAATTATATAAATGTTAAGTACAAGTAAAATAAAAAATACAGAAAGTTGGAGGGAGTATTATCTGATACATTAGGGTGAGTTGTACAGTTGTAGGGAGTATTATCTGACACATTAGGGTGAGTTGTACAGTTGTAGGGAGTATTATCTGACACATTAGGGTGAGTTGTACAGTTGTAGGGAGTATTATCTGACACATTAGGGTGAGTTGTACAGTTGTAGGGAGTATTATCTGACACATTAGGGTGAGTTGTACAGTTGTAGGGAGTAAGTTAGCGACATGAACCCTCAGCACATTACGATGTTGTTTCTATTTCAGTCTAGTCCAATCTGGCTGTGCTTCCGTTGTAGGGAGTATTACACCTCTGATGACGCAGGCCAAGATAACAAGGACTGAGCTGGAGTTTCTAAAACAGAAGTGAGATGCCAGTGCAAAACTGTTGATGTGTCCTTAGGCAAGACACTTCACCCACATTGCTCGGGATAAGTGCGATGTGTGGGTGAGTGTTGGTGTTAGTCAGAGACAGATTGGCAGCCTCGCTTCTGACGTTCTCGCCCAGGGCAGATGTGGCTACAGTTGTGACTTACCACTGAGTATGGAGTGAAAGAATAAGGCACTAAACTGTAGCGCGACTGGAAAAGCACTATATAAGACTAATACACTTTATTAGCGTACACTTATTAACATCTAACTACCTGCTAATTAGCATAGTTCTAGATGGTTACTTTGTCATTAATTAGTATTTATTTAGCCCTTATTAATGTCTAATTTCCCATAAGCTTATTCTGCTATTAGTTAGACATTTACAAAGACTTTAATATTAATACACTCCTTATTACTGCTTATTAGTACGATACTAAGCCATTTTTGTCCATGAATTATGATTCTAATTAGCTTTTGGTAATAAGTGAGTTGTTAAGGACTTGTTAAGTAGCACAAGAAATGTAGTTTTTACTTATTTGCACGTAACAAATTTTGCTTACTCTTGTGTAATAAAACACTCTCTGTTAGATGTTAATAGAGTCTAACTAGCCATGAATTAAGTCATTAAGCTCTGAATATGTTCCCCATTCTAAAGTGATGTTTCGATCATTAATAAATGATGAGTTTGAGACAAATTAAAATGAATATGGTTCCTATTCTAAAGTGGTCTCTTCTTCACACTTAATTCATGAATTCTGATATGCATATTCATAGTTCATATATGAATAGGTAGTTGTACAAAATTCATGCACAAAAATGGCTTAGTATCATACTAATAAGCAGTAATAAGGAGTGTATTAATAGGAAAGTGTTTGTAAATGTCTAACTAATAACTAATTAGGAGGTAGTTAGATAAAATAAACTGTTATCATTATTATTATTACATGGAACAACAAAATGACAAAATTTGCACACGGCCTGGATAGTTAAAGGTCCTATATTACGTAAAACTTTTTAGAATGTTGCTACCTCCTCAAAAACATACCTGGAGTTGTTTTGTTTCATTCACATGTGTTTGAGTAATCCTTTATTGTTAGTCTTTCTAAGATCCTGTTTATACGAGAACACTTGTGGGTAAAAAACAACAAGATATTTGATCAGGAGTGCCTTTTGTTTAGATGGTGATGGTGTTTTTTTGGGCTTAAAAATGCAAAAATCTGAAACCAGCTTCCAGAGTGGAATAGTTGAATACGCTCTACCTTAGCATTTCCGTCTACACTGCTCAAGATGCAAAACTCTGGTCAGATCTGCGCATGTCTCTTACGCGTTTATGTCACATACATCACCACCTAGCCGCCTGGCATGTATACCCAATCGAATTCCACACACTTTTGCGTCACTGTATGCATGCAGATTTCCTCCTGAAATCGCTTGTCTAAACACGGAATAAAAAGTGCATCTTCTGTTTAGATCGTCATCATATAACATAGCCTAGATCTCAAAAGTTCAAAATGCTCTGTTCCATCTTGTGATGTCATGATGTGGTTGCTTTCATTTTAACAGCTACCTTTTACCTTTAGTTCAATAGTGATTGGCAATTCCAGGATTGAAATGATCCAAATGATTCTAGTAACAGTGAATGAAGTTTAAAAACACTATGTAGCACTTCTTTTTTCCGTTTGAGAGAAGAACTCAACCTAAATATACTAAATATGTTTGTTAAACATATGCAAATGGAACAAAACACAACTCCAGGCATGTTTTTGATGAGGAATTATTACATAGATCAGAAAATTGTGTAATAGAGGCCCTTTAAAGTGAATACAGTTATTTTTTTAGAGAGTGTGTTGCCATGTTACAATGTGTTTCTGATTATCAAACACTAATACTGCCTGGCTGGAGACTGGACCACTGGGATCTGCAATTACTGCTTACCAACAGCCCATAGTCAAATCAAGTGGAATTACTCATTAACTCTGACAGAGGTCGCGCAAATGAAAGCTTCTAATTACATTTGTGAAGCAGCGTGGGGCAAATGAACACAAGACTGATTTACTGTCATGTGTGTAGAGAAATCACTGTGCAGATGCAAGTACAAGTGTTATGTGGTGATTTGCTTGTTTGCGTATGTTGTACTCAAATTTCAAACTCGATTTTGACATTTAAGGGCCCATATTATGCCGCTTTCTGATCTATGTTATCATGTTTCCTCATCACAATCATACCTGGAGCTGTGTTGTCTTTCATTCACACGTTTGACACACAAACCCTGTCTTAAAACTCCATAACGTCTGGGTGATTTGAGACCTGAAATTGCCAATCTCTTCTAAGGTAGCAGTAAACTTGAAAACTACCACTTCATGACCTCACAAGGTGGAACAGAGCATTATGAGCTTTGGAGATGCACACAGACTAATAATAAAGCATTACTCACAATGAAATGGAAATGGAAAAGGTTTCAAATTGGCTTCAGAACTCCTGTCTTACCTTAATATTGATAAAACAGTTTCAGTGAATTTTACCAATAAGTGTAAATCCCCAGAGACTCTAATATCAGTAATGTAGATGAATTTAAATATTTAGGTTTATTACTTGACTCAAAACTTAATTTTAAAAGTCATAATATAATAATTGAAGCCCCATATACATGTTTTAATACCATGATTGTCTCACACCTTCGATATTGTATTCCAAGCTGGTCTCAGGCGTGTAAAACGTCTCTAACGCTGATAGAAACATTTTATAAACGAGCACTATAAATCCATGATAAAAACCCTCGCCTGCACCACTACTGCTCAATACTTCTCAAATATAAATTCTTACATTTTGATAACTTGCTTAAATTTAATCAAATGTTAACATTATTTAAAATCATTCATAACTCAGCAGCCCCCCCACTGAGAAAGTCTGTGGCGCTCACGTCAGAGAAAACCTGCTGAGCCACGCTGTCCACAGCCACAGGAGAGTGTAGTGTTCCAAGATGCAGAACCTCATTTGGTTAGTCATCATTCTCCTACAGAGTCATAAGCCTCTGGAACAGCCTCCCACATGAAATTATGTCATGTACTAATTATGAAATGTTTGCACGCCTGACCAAACAATGGCTTTTAACCAAACTAACCTGTACACATTAATCTGCCCTGTGTGAATGCAGCCATATGGACTGTAAATATGTAAATAGTGTTTGGATGTGGTGACTGAGACTGAATTGGGATTATAGTTTTACTTATTGATTGACTGGATGAATGATTGCATTAGTATACATTACATTGTATTTTATTGGCATGTACGCCATGTATGACATCAACCTGTCCAGGGACTGACGGTATGTGCATTGTCCCTGATGAAAAAACAAATAAAATAAAAAAAAAACCCTCAAACATGTGTGAATGAAAGAAAACACAACTTCAGGGATGTTTTGAGTCTTGCGTAATCTTGCGTAATGTAGGACCTTTAAGGAATAGACTCAATACCAATTCCGATATCACAATGATTATTTAAAAACAAAAACAAAAACGAAATAAAAAAAAGCTGTTTATTTTGGCAGTAATACTTTACTATGTGGCCTTATATCTGTGTAACCTGCTGAGTTTCTAGTTTTAATACTAGTTTTAGTGACTTTTCGATACTTTTGAAACACATACTTTGTCAGGAGACACACAATTCTTAATAGTGCAGTATAAACTTTGTTAAGAGATCAGATAACTGTGAAGGGCCTAATGAATAATGCAGCACCATGAGTGAGCAGTGTAATTTATCACTCACTTCATTTTACAACATCAAGGTGGAACTTTCTTCAGTGGAAAGAGTTTTTAGTGGTAATATGAATTACTTCTAAACTCATATTTTTTCTCTGTAGGGAAATGTGTCTTTTGCAGTAAACCCACCCTTAACCAGAGCCAGTACAGCCTGTTAGGAACTGTGGAGGATCACAATGCCTGGTTTGGGTTATGTTATGCATGATAATAGCTATAAGAACTTTTTTCACTTTTCACAGCAGTATGACCATAATTCATCATTCCTTACATTTGCACATGGCGGGTAGAGTAGTCACAAATTGCACCAAGAAAGAGTTACGTTACTTCAGAATAATATTACTCAAATAGAAAAAAGTACTACTCAAGTAAGAGTTCCTTAAAGAGTAGCTGTCAGGATGAAACATTTGATTTATTATTTGAAGTTAATGTAATTTGAAGTACAAAACATAAAATACTGCACAAAATCTGGAATTTTCAGTGGATGTACAGTATTTTCAATGTAATGTTTAAATGGATAAACATTCCAGTAGTTTCAGAATTATGGGAGTCATGGAGTTAAAGGGCCTAAATGTCACACGCATTTGACTTTTCTGAGCTTCAAGCCATGTTAGAATGTCATTACCTCCTCAACAATATCTTTATTTTTAGTCTGTCATCCTCAAAGCTCAAATATTCTGCTCCACCTTGTGATGTCATGTAGTGGTAGTTTTCCAGTTAACAGCTACCTGTTACTTTTAGTTTAGCTGACAGTGTCAATTCCAGGGCTGAAATTAATTACATGACTCTAATGATGGTTTATGGCAAGTCTCAGGGTTTCAAAATGGCCGTCCAGTCAAGTCAAAGGGCCAAGCTCAGTGGCGCATGATTCCAGATTAGCCTTTATCCCAGCAAAGTACTTCCACTGGCTGTGGGCCAATTGAGCATTCGCAGTAGTGCTCTTTTCTTCTGCGGGCACACGCAAATGCACGCGAGTGCACACACAGGGTATCGTGTATCACGTGATCGCTTTGACCAATCAGAGCGAGAGGAGCTAGAGCGTAGCCGGAACTAATGATTATAACATGTTTTTTAAGACAACTAAAGGATTTTGAGCTGAGAAAAAAGTTTTAAATAGGTAAAAATCGCCACTAAATCCTACATTTTTGAAAGTTGTAGGTGCCCTGTCAGCCAAACACGAACAGTTTGTAATTACATTGCGCTCTATGCATACGGGTAAGACGTATCCCCCTCAATAATGTTAGCATCACAACTTATTTACAAGGCGATAAACTATTTGAGTGCACTGACAATATCTCTAGCTAGTGTACCAACTTCATGTTAACCCTAGATCCATGTGTGAGCCGCACAGACAGTGGTGCTTTCACGAACACAAACTGTTTGTGATTACATTGCCTCTATGAGAAAAATCTTCTCTCGGCCCATGTGATTTTTTCCGCTGAAGTTCCAGTGAGTGACCAATACATCAACTGGAGGCATCTACAAGCTAGCCATACCCCATCCAGTTATTTTAATAGATCCATGGTGTATGGATTTATATAAAGATAATGCAACTCCAGGTGTGTTTTTGATGAAGAAACAACATTATAACATGGATCAGAAAATAGTGTCATATGGGCTCTTTGTGATGACTCTTCCACAGAATTACATCTCTTTTAAAATACAACATTTGTTTTTCTCTTTCCCACTGTAGGCCTGTAACCTGGGCAGACTTCCTGAAGGACAGCGCCATCTACATTCTGGCGGCGCGCCCGAACAGCTCCGCCATGCACATCCGGATGCCTCTATAGTCCTCGGGCCTCTATAGAACCAACGGAGTCCACGGAGAGAAGAGAAGAGAGAGAGAGGGGAATCCAGCCCACAAGCTTTTGACCAGACCGGGAAGATCGCCATGACGACACCACTGAGAACCTGATTGAAAAAATGTCCGGGTTTTTGAGAGACAAGCCCATTCTCTTTTCCTCCTCCTCCTCCTCCTCGTCCTCTTCCCCCACTCCACGCTAACTACATACACGGTGGACTGACGAAAGAAAGACAGGAGCTTGTGAGAAGAGGGATATTAGACAATCGCCTTCTCCACACTGGGCAGTTCCGATGGGATTCCGCGCTCCTGCCGACGGAGATGTAGACACGAGGCTCTGTTATAAGTTTATGCGCAACGTCCTCCTTGCTTTGTGAGTGTACATCTCGTTACATGCTAGCCTAATGAAGAATTCTTACCCATCTGCTCTGGTAGACCTCGTTGTAACTGAATTATGTTTTTACTGAGATTTTTGGTGGTTCGTTTTGGAGAAGCAGACGGAAAACTATATTGTGAACTAGCGGTATTGTTAACAGTAATGTAAGTACTTATAATTTCACGGTGCAAGTCTGGATAAACCTGCACGAGGATCAGTGTTGTTATGATACTAAAATTTTAAACTTAATTTTGCTACTTTAGAAAATGCTAAAAAAAACTCAGTACAGATTTTGATACTGCAATCTTTCTTTAGGCAGAAGAGAGTCATTTTCAACATAAAATTGTAACAGTGTCTTCATTGTGGTCTGATACTGTTCAGATATATGTCTAAAGGTCATAGAAACCATAGAAATTAGAACTGAATACTATTTTCCTGATTGTTAATATCAATTATTGTTCAAATGAGTATCTAGTTTTGATCTTAGTATTGATTAGTATCTGGGTAATGTTGAAAGTCATACATTTTAAACATAAATGCACACCACATCAAGAAATATAGGAGCATCTTCATCTCAAAAAAAGTACAAGTAAGTGCTTTTGACTGAGAACCCCCCCCCCTAATTTCAGTGAACTAAACTCTTACCCACAGCCTTTTTTAAACCATAAACCTATAAAAGAGCAGTGTACCGTATTTTCTGGACTATTGAGCGCACCAAAATATAAGCTACATGAACTAAATTTTAACAAAATCTTAAAACTGTACATATATAGGCCGCACCTGACTACAGGTGTCCATGTCTTCATGAACGTTTTCAAGTTCAGGTCGTCTGCTTTTATCGCCTCTGAAAGCTTTTGTCGTCTTTTTGCGTTGAGTCAGTTCGTCACGCTGCCATTGCTAAAATCTCACCATCGACTCATTGTTGCAGAGCTCACGTGCAGCAGCTCGATTTCCTTCTTCCACAGCCACATCAGTTGCTGTTAACTTAAAAGTTGCATCATCTGCATTTCTTTGTGTATTTTCCATGAGGAGTGTGTGTGTACAAAGCGCAAAATAACTGTTCAAAACACATTCACACTAGAATCTTCCTCAGCATCACCCCCGTCTCTCCCCGTGCTCTACTGCACATGTCTCCTGCAGAAAGAGCCTCTGTCCTGTCTGTATCGTGTCAGACTCTCTCAGGGGCGGGGCTAGTTCTATCAATCAGGCATGAGTGGATGTCCAGCTACTGACGTTTGAGACGTTTCTTCTCATCATTCACGCATACGGGTAAGACGTATCCCCCTCACTAATGTTCATTTAACATCATAACTTATTTTGTCACACGGCAAGAAAGTATTTGAGTTCGCTGACAACATCGTTAGTTAGTGTAGCAACTTCATGTTAATCCTAGATCCATGTTTAACTGCACAGACAGCGGCATTTTCTGCACTACTGTATCCGCTCTGTTGCCAAACCATAGACCGTATATATATGAATGGACAATGTGCCAAACAAAGAATCTGTCCATATATTAGCCACATTGTTTTATTAGCCACAGAGTTCAAAGTGTGAGAAAAAAGTAGCGGCTTATAGTCCGGAAATTACGGTAGTCATATTTCATGCGGTAATCTTTTGGCACTCAAATGTTCAATTAAAGCATTATCCCAGCAGATGGGGCCTTTAACTATTTGGACATCACATTAGTAGTTCACATTTTGACTGCTTTAAATTATGTATATGTATGAAAAAAAATAAAACCGTCCTGATTTCTTCGCAAACAAAATGCCACATTTGCCCCTGGAGGATGAAAGGATAAATCAGTTCGGCTGACGGCAACTATAGAGCTTGAGCGTTGAAATGTATCATATCCTGTCAGGTAAATATGTCACAGCATATGAATGATACAAAACCAACGCTTATGATTTCAATAAAGAAACAACATAAAACACATTAAAAGGAAAATAAGTCAAGTGTGCACATTTGGGACTAGTGTTAGAGGAAACATTGTGAGATATGGCTATAGTGTTTTTGAGTATTTCCAGTTCCAATCCTCATTTTCTGTCTGCTTCTTCAAAACCTGCATTGTATTGTATTGATACATACCTACATAACACCACGCTATCCCTTTAAACCATTTCACAAATCCAGGTATACGCACTTTGCCGAGACTTCTGGTGGGACTGAAAGCTATCTGCACACTCAGTATTATAAGAACTGCTCTTCATGTCGGTATAAATGAAAACGCATTATTACGAAGCTCTGTGTATTCCTCCGCCACGCCCTGTTTCATTCTGGAGTACTAACTGTGAATGGATGCTAATGAAAGTTAACCCACTATGTGATGTGTACGGCCATAGTGTCTCTCTGGAGCTGCATACGAGGTTGGGACTAAGCTTGGACCGGCGGGATTTTTTGCACTGCGCTGCAAAAACTAAAATCTAGCCGAGTTAAAGGTGCATCGCTTGACTATTCTGGTGGAGAGTCCGTCAAATGGTTGTTGTTGATTTGTCTGGAATGGTTCACAGTATGGTATTAAACCTTTCTATCTTCATGGAGACCAAACAAGACCAAGTTACAGGTCAGATCTCAGGCTATGTTTATATGATGATGGTCTGAACAGAAGACGCAAAAGTGGTGTCACGTCGTCACTTTTTATTCCGCGTTTAGACAAGCGTTTTCGGGAGTAAATCTGCGTGCATACCGTGACGCAAAAGTGTGTGGAATTCGATTGTGTATGCATGCTAGGCGACTAGTTGGTGACGCTAGTTGGTGAACATGTAGGCGACGTGAGCAGATCTGACCAGAGTTTTGAGTCTTGGGCAGTGTAGACGGAAACGCTACGGCGAAGCGTATTCAACTTTTCCACTCTGGAGGGTGGTTTCAGATTTTTGCATTTTTAAGCCCCCAATACTAGCCTGATTCATCAGCCGGGTTCACTTCATAGAAACCGTCTGACCTCGCAGTGTTAGAATTTGTTCGCTCGTATATTAATCTTTTCCCAAATCCCATAGGAAGAAGGGCAATAACGTTGTTCCCCTTGATGAAATTCATCATTCAATTCAACATTCTCTTTATTCCGGCTTTAAACCTTTGATCTCCGTAATCGTTGACAACACTGAATGTATGGCTCTTCGCTGATTGGCTTGTGCCCGAACTTGTACTTCTGGAGTTTTTGCGAACCGTCAAGTGTATTTTGATTCTTGACCTAGTTGCCAGAGAGAAATGAAATTGAGCAGAGGCACTAGGTGGTGCCAGCCTGGCTACCCCAATACACCGTCACCGTCTAAATGAAAGGCACTTCCGATAAAATATTTTGTTGTTTTTATCCACAAGCGTTCTCGTGTAAACAGGCCCTCAAAATGCTTTTTTTTTTGAGCAGTAAAACCACCTGTATTTGAATAAATGTAAGGTAGAACTGTTTAATATCATACTGAGGAACATTTCAGGCAGAGCAATGGCATATCCTTAAAAACATGCAAGTGACACACCCCTAACCAAAAAGTTACACAGTGCACCTTTAAGGTTATTGCATTGTGCGACTTTTCAGGTTGGAGATCTGCTACCATGGAGATGCTGTTGCTTGGCCTGGAATGTTCCAAAATTTGGAAATAAACATATATAGAATGCATTTATTCAATCATGGATGGATTTATTGCTTAAAAATACCATTAAAACATGCATTCTTACTGATTAGGGTCATCGCTTCACAGATCTCACCTGTAAATTGGCCTAGTTGTGTCTTCTGCTTGTCTCTATGGAGTGGATAAGATTAATGCTGTACTTTGGAACATTGCAGGCATAGTGATAATATCTCCATGGACACACACTGCAAAAAACAAAATCTAGTCAAGTTAAGTTGACTTGAATTAAGAAATTTTTATCATGATTTGAGTCGATTTTACTTGACAAGTAAAATGATCTGCCAGTGGAAGAAGATTTTTTGTACTTAAAATAAGACATAAAATCAAATGTTGCTTGAATTAAGAAAAACACACTTATTCAGTTGGAGATAATTTTACTTATCAAGTTGAATCAACATAAAAATAAAGTAAAATGTTCTTAATTTAAGTCATTTAACTTACCTAGATATTAGTTTTTTTTTTCCAGTGCAAGCAGATAACGGGCCCTCCACCATGAAAGTTACACAATGCATCTTTAAGTTTTATCATGATTTGAGTCAATTTCACGTACAAGTAAACTTATCTACCAATGGAACAAGACTTTTTGTACATAAAATATGAAAATGCATCTTGCTACACTTAAAAACAACAACTTTTTGCACTTAAAATAAGAAACAAAATCTAATGTTGCTTGAATTAAAACACACTTATTCCATTAGTAGCCCGTTTTACTTGTCAAGTTGAATCTACTCGAATTAAGTTACATGTTCTTAATTTAAGTCATTTTAAAAGTGCATTATGTAACTTTGTGGTTGGGGGTCTGTCAAATGCTTGTTTCTATAGATACGTCATTGCCCAGCCTAAAATGTTCCACAGTATCACATTAAACAGCTCTATCTTTCTATTCAATTACAGGTGATTTTATAGCTCAAAAATACATAGAAAAACAGGCATTTGTGGGGTTGCTTCTGCACAGATCTGACCTGTAACTCCATGACGATTTAGGTTTAAGGCCATACTGTGAAACTGTG